ATTTGAACAGTAAGAGATTTTGAATACGATATGCACATGCATTCCCTGAGATGTTTAAATTACATTTCCATATATTTTTACATTTCCACCATTGTTTCACAATGGCGGAAATGTAAAAACATGAAAATTCATGTCAATAGCAGGTGTTGGATCTTTGATATTTATTGATAATACAATGGATCATAAATGTATATAAACATATTAAAAAGTTAGCCTTGTGCATCATAGCTTGAAATGTGAACAATTTTGATCATCATCAAGACGAGCCTAAACACAAAGATCTATGCATGTGGCTTTTATTTAATTGTCCAAAAGTCCTTGAAACAGTACCATAGTTACCAGACTTGAATATGATTGAGAATTTGTGGAGTGATTTAGATATAGCAATAAGAAATAACATTTACAGCAAAAATGATTTAAATGTGGATCTATTAAATAGAAAAAAATTATCACTCTTACAATATGAAATGTTGATTAGATCCACATCTAGACAAAGCTATTATAAAGAGTACCCTTTAAAGTAATAAATAAAAATAATATGAAGATTTTAAATTTGTACAATGAAAGATGCTCAACCTTTAATTTGAAATCATTTCTCCTTACTGAAAAGAAAGCATTCTTTTTCCTTATTTATAATTAATGGAAAGAAAAAATAAATACACAGTAAGATCCCACTTAACGTTGATTCAACATAACGCAGTCTGCTTGAAGCATAAAAAAAGCTCAAAATTTGCGCTGATTTAAATTATCATGGCATTTCATTGATTTGTATATAATATGATTATTTATGAACACAAACCAATCAGCAAAAAAATGGCAAAAAGGTGTACTTTCTTTAAATCTATGTTTGTTTGGTGCAATTTTGGAAAAAATATATCATCATGGATGTCATAAGCAATATTGACTTCGCTTGGCAAGAATTAACTGATAAATGCACGAACGAAGTGTGGAAGAAGTTATGGCTGAAGGTATCCAAGAATTCTCAACAAGAAGAGCCTATTGCTGTATTGTTAGGTTAACCAGTATTGTTAGGTTAACCAAACTCAACCTAATCAATATAGCAGGACTAGGAGATATAGACGAACAGGATATTGAGGAGTTACAGCAGGTTTCTGGTGATAGTCTTATAAACGACGACCTTCGAGAACTGGCAGAACAAAAAATCCATGTAGAACTGCAAAATAGTGATTCTGAAAACGAAGAACCCAAAAAATTTCTCTACAGATGGATATCCTTAGTAAAAGTTTGGTAAGATAATTGAAATCGTTAATCAAATTGTAGCGAATGATCCAGATTTTGAAAGGAGTGAAAAAGCGAAACGCGTTTTGGATGCAATCTTCTGCTACCTACATTTGCTTAAAGAAACAAAGCGACAAATGAAACTTCATGACTTTATTGCAAAAAAAACAAGAATTTCAGAAAAGTCAGGACCTTCATCACAAAAAATGATCTTTACATTTCTGTGTGCATATGTTTGCATGTTACTTTTAAAACAATTTAAAAAAAGTTAGCTGAAGATAAGATCTAACCTAGATCGCCCATGTGACAAGTGAGTTTGCTACAGACTCAGCCATTTCACATTTCACAGTGCTGCCATAGTGTAAAATTGACCAGTATACGAGCTGCACTTAAAACTTTAAGAGACCTTTTTCTCAGAATCTTCTGGCTAGTGCGCTTTACAATTCTTCTGGGGACATCCTTGAGGTATACTACTAACCTGCAAAGTCTGATCCCAAACTGAATTTCCAAGACCATAAGGTCCCCTTGTAAGTAAACAAAACTATCAACTGCTTACCATCACCCACACTATTAATAGTGTAATTGGTACAAAGCATTTTTGTTCATTTTTTAAAATATGATGGATAATAGTGACAAATAAGATGTGTACAATATTAAAATTATTTCTAAAGAAATACATGTTCATTATTTTGAAAATAACTAAAACATGTTCAAGTAAAAAATTATTAGTACAATAAGCATACATGTTTTCTATTCTGGTCTAAAAAATAATTCAACTTTCTTCTATATGTTTGATTGTTGGTACTATTCAATAACAAAAGTAATAAAATTTACATCTTACAAATTTCATAAAACAGAAAAATTAAATATAAAGTACAATTTTATAAAAATATATAATTTTGTTTTCATAAAATTACATTTAAGATGGACTAATATGGCATTAATAAATAAAATCATGCAAAATTATATTCATATAAAAATCATTTTGAAAAATTACATATGGACTTAAATTCTACAACGTATTCAAAACTGCCCCTTAATTTAATAGAAAATTCTTTTATTAACAAATTTACAACAACATTACATAGAACATGCTCAGCAAATAATTAACTTATCACACTATACTTTTTTTTTTGCTGAAATAGTTTTATTGAAAAACTAATGTTTTTCAATACTTTCCAACACTAGCAAAAAATGACTGAAAAAATTGAAATTTACAAGAGCAAACTGGAAGAGGCATGTATAAATGCAAGGGACTCAGAAAGCCTACCAATGGTGTGGAAATTTATAGTCAAAAAATTTAACATGAACTCGTAGTTTTGCCTTAGTTTATAGTTACTTCGTTCATCAAATATTGCTTAACAATTTATTACAATGTTTATCTAAAGTATTAACTAGTACATTTATTTTTATTTATTATTTTCTATCACTAGGTCTGGCTTTGTTTTGTATTGTATTGAAATTATTTTTCAGTTATTTTTCATGTTTTTCCATTATTATTTTTTGTATTTAAATTTATGTATTCTATTTAATGGAACGCCAATGTTCTTTTTTTTTTCTATCATTAAGCCTGAGGATGGCCTATAGAGTAGGCTTAAAACGTTAGTTTTTCAATAAAACTATCTCAGCAAAAATAAAAAAAAAGTGTAGTGATAAGTTAAATTTACAATATAAATAATTTAAGAATACAAGAAGTTAAAAGGATAGTTTAGAATTTAAATTATTTAAAATTTAAACTAAGGAAAACCTGCACTCTTAAACATTTGATTTTAATAAACTCATTATTACAAAATAAATTCATACTAATTACAGCACTTGTGCATTACTTCCCATTCTCACACATCTGTTGTTTCTCTGATGGAATGACATAGATGAGATGAGTTTGAATAGATGACTAAATTAAATTATTAAATTTCACACAAATCAAAAGATTTAATTATGATTAATTTGTTCCAACATCATTTAAAATTTATTTTGTTTGAATTTGTATAGATACCATTACAGAGACTTAATTTTAAGAATTTATTATCAAAAATATTCTTGAAATAGACTATATTTAATAAAATAAATTTGGTGTTAAATTCAGTTGATGTCAAATTTTGTATCCTTCAGGAAATTCAAATATTTTTTTAGACCTAAATATAAACTTATTTTGTTTTAAACACTCAAGAAGTGTTTTTATAAATTAAAATAGGATATGACAACTACACAATGAAAAAGAAAACCATACAATGAGGTGATATTTCTTAATCTTCTAACATTAAAAAATTAAAGTATCATCAAATTTAAGGTTATTTTTTGTGGTATGGTTGTTTAATATAAGTGCAGTATCCAAAAAAATAAGATATAATCTATTCATATTTTTAATATTAAGTAATAAAATAATGGTTCTCATTGAATTTTATTAAAATTATCTAAGAACTGATTTTAACAATTTAGTAATATAAAATCATCATTTTGTTAATTCAAATTTATGAATCATATCTTATTTCAATACTCTACACAACACTGCTTGTTAAGGAAACCAATTTCAAAAAATTATTTATTTGGGTATGCTCATGATGGATTTTTTGTACACATTTTTTTATTAATTTTTTTATCTGTGTTTATGTTTTATTTATATACATAAAAAATATATGAAGTGTTCAATGCCATAATGTTGTAAATGCCAAAAAACAAACTTTTCAGGAGAGGTAAAAAACACTTTCTAATGAATGAATTCATTTCAATTTTACTATAAAATGGTAAAAAACTCACTAGATTACAAATTCTCTGGAATATCAAAATAATGTAAATATAAGACAATGTTTTAAGCACCAAAGTCATGTGACTTGCACTCATATCTTCACATAAAGTGCGAGAGCAAGCATTTAAATTCATCACTTACAGTGCCAATATTGCCACAATTTTTTTCTGTGGCAGAAAACATTGCATTTAGAATTCAATTCTTCAATTAAATGTATTTAGAGAAAATTGGCATTTACAATGTTACTGCATTGCATGCTTCATATATTTGCATACATATGCAAATTATGTATGTATGCATGCATGCATGCATACATACATATAATATAAATTTATATATATATAATATTTAATATATAATATAATATATATTATAATAATTTTACACCACAAACACACATTTTTGTGGTGTAAAATTAATATAAATTTGAATTATACAATTCAAACCTTTATTGTTTTGCTGTTACCAAATATAAAATAAACTGGAAACTAATTTGAAATATTAAATTCTATATAATCAGAAAATCTTAGTATATTAAAATAATTAGTAGAAGTTACAAGTTACTTTTCTATCATGTTTATACATATACAGTGTAAGTAAACAAATGACCTAAGTGTAGCTTCTATACAATAATTTTCTTCATAAAGATTTTTAACAGAACTAATTAAGATAAAACCATAGATAAAAGCAACAATGACTTTTAATTCAAGTAAAACAAATAAATTAATGTGAAATAAAAGCAATGTAAGTAAAGGAAAACATAAAATATAATAATGTATAACTAACAAATCAGCTTGGACTTTTCTGCAGAACATGTTAAATCAAAACTGACATTTTTTAAATTCAAAGACCACAATGCAAAACATATAATCTCATACATAAATAATATATTTTTAAGTGTTTATCCTAAAACTATCTTATATTTATTAAAATAATAAATAAACAAAATGTTCACTTAATTTTTAACATTAGGCTTAACAGCAGTAAGGAAATTAACTGTTTTTTAAGATATTACTTTGTATTAATTCGCAATTCCAGGAAAGCATAACACCGTACATTAATGGCAAATTAAACATTCCTTCTAAACAATTTCAACTTTTAAAAAGAATTTCAACACTTGTTTTCCTTCCAACTCACCTCGAGTTCGTCTCGATCAGACATCTTGGCTGTTTTATTTTACATGAAAGATTCATTAGCCATCTGGCGGAAATAAAGAATTAATTTATTTACTATAAAAATTCAACGTCAGTCACGAGCAAACTATTATAATTATTATTAAAATCACGATATCAAAACGTTTATAAATTTAATGTAAAAGTTTTGTCATTTCGATATTTAAAAAATTATTAAAGTATGATGCATTGTACCGTACTATACATAATGTTCTTTGAGACGGCTGGTGCCCGAGCGGAATCTATTGCTCTGAAGGATTCGGGAACAAATCCCAGGAATTTTTTGGGGATAGATATGTTGGGCCCTGCCGTTCACCACTCGCTTTCCCCATTGTGGACTTGGCCGAATCTGTAATGGGCTTGCTAAAAAATGATCCTCTTAATGTCCACAGAGCGGAGAGTTAAAAAAATATATATTTTCTTTGAAATAGAACATAAAAGTAGGAGGATTTTTTCAATTTATATCATCATATAGTATTATTAATAATTGAATAATGAATAATTTATATTATAAAGAAAGGCAGGGGTTATCCTTTCGTTCTTCGAGTTAATGAATATACAGTGACGTAGCGTGGGTGTCAGCCGCCCTCTTATTTACGTATCTCAATTTAAAAGACTAAAATTCAGTTTCGTCACAGAATAAGTAACGAAAAATTCCGTGCTAGCGTTGCCACCATTTTTAAATCGCCGACCCTGACGGCAGGGGAGGTTTGTTCGAACAGAAGTTCCTGACGCATGCGTATATCATTTGCAGTGCATGCTGGTTCTAAATCAGTTGCAGTTAGCGACTAGGGAGACTTGGGTAGGAGTGACGTAAGTAACCTAGATGCCTAAGGGCTGTTTCACACTATGACCCACTGGTCCGACCCGACCGATTTTATAATCGGACTGACTAGTAGTAAAAGCATTCACACTAACAAAGTACGATTATATGTCGGTGGCCGACTCATAAGGACCAATCACAACGCGTGTTATAGATCAATACACTAACCAATCATGGTAAGTTTTTAAATTAAACAGAAAACATGGCCGTCATAGAAAGCGATCGTGCATTTAGATATATCGCATCATTATTAGATTAGTCAATCACGTACCTTTAAAGTTTAGTTTCTTGGAAATCTTCGTCCAAGAATTATTTTTTTTATGTTGTCTTTATAATCGGCTCGCCGAATATCATAAAGCCACGGATACGTTCTGACTTCGTTTATTAAAGCTTCCAAGAAATCTATACTTTCCGCTATTTTTTAACTTCGATGTAGATTGGATAAATCTAAACTCTGATTGGTTATAGTTTCGAAGCTCTCATTGGCTGTAGCTCACCGACTGCTCCGATCCGACTACAAATACAGTAGAACCTCGAAAACTCGGCCTAATGTGGACAGAAGGATGGCCGAGTTTGTGAAAATGCCGGGTTATCGGGAATGGGGTTAAAAAGAATAAGTACGAGTGTTTCCTCAGAAAATACTGTATTGTACTTGTATGTATTGTTTACTTGAGAATATAACAGAGAATAAACTGCCCAAATACCCTTAAACAAAGGAAAAGTACGTCCTTTATGAAGGCATAGAGCCTTTACTACATGAAAATGAAAATTAATGAATACACTGTGTACAGTAATTTACCTGATAAGACAGACCTCAGAAAAATACTTTATGAGAGCTTTTATACTTTTATAAAGCTGTCTATAATGAAAATTAATTAACTA